ATTACGTTTTTACTTCAGTCATCCTAACTCCACGTCGCAGCCCGATGTTCGTCCGCAGAACGTTACACAGATCCTCGCTGGTTCTGAGCACCAGCAGTGGGATGCTTTTAATACCATTATATTTGTCCTTTAATTGGACTGTTGCGGCAAGAACTCTGGTTTAATTGAGCCCTCAAAGTAACGACGCTCAGCTCTCAGTGCAGCACATCTGGTTCAAGTGCGCAGCTGTTGGCAAAGACAAAAGTGTTGGATGAAAGATTTATTTAATGTGGTTGATGAGTTTTTAGAGGTTTTTTTCCTTCTAGAAGACTTGACTTCTAAATAATACAAATTATTACGGACATTGAAAGACGAGATTGCTGTTTTATTCACACTGATATGAAAACGATGAACGACGAATACCTCGCTGGAACGGTGTCGCCTCCGTTTCGTATTACAGTTGAGCTAAAAAGGCACTTGAAACAATGACGACGCCGGTGTTTTGGGAATCTTTTGTCACGGCACACAGTGTTTGCCATTCTTTGTGCCGGAGGGGAAGGCAGGAGAGGGACTCCTCAAGGTATTGAGTTCCCCGTATCCATCATTTTCGACGAGTCGGGACCTTGGAGTAGCGCCAGCAGCGTCGGCGCTAGCCAGCCGTCACTGACATTGAGTGCATTGTTTGCAGCGGGAAGCTCACGGCTGTGGCCTAAAGGTACATTCCTGGGATCAGAATGCCGTTTGAACACACAAACAGCCTTTGTGCCCTCGCTGCTCCCCCCCCTCGACTCCCTCATCCACATCAGACCTCAAGAGCTAAACTGCCTCCTCTTGCTCGTGTGTCAACATGTGGGCAATCATTTTACACACACACACACACACACACACACACACACACACACACACACACACACACACACACACACACACAAGTGTTCTTTTGATGATGAGGTCCAGGCAGATAGCTAAACTCTCGGAAAGAAGCTGGAAAGTCAAAACTTTTTTGGAAACAAAAAAGGTATTCAGATTTGTATTGAGTATATAAAAGTACACATCGGGGGCTGCTTTTAGAAGAACTGCAGCTCTTAAAGTTCGCACTTTACTCTTTAGCAACTTGGATGGCAACCTCCGTTTCTGGAAAGGGAAGCCTTAAAGGAAGTGCCTTAATTAAACTTCTATTCTCTCTACTGGCCAGCAGGGGGCGACTCCACTGATTACAAAAAGAAGACTGGTTGTATAGAAGTCTATGAGAAAATGACTCTACTTCTCACTTGATTTATTACCTCAGTAAATATTGTAAACATGAGTTTATGGTCTCAATCTCTAGTTTCAAGTCTTCTTCAATACAGCATGATGTTCATTTAGAATCAAATAGACCTTAAAGCAGAGTATGCTTTCGGGCGGGGCTACCTTGTGATTGACAGGCTGCTACCACAGCGCTGTCCCATCTGGGAGTTGGGAGTTTTCATCTTACAACTTTAACCCTTTCACAGTGTGTTGAAACACATAAAGTAATAAATGCTGAGTGTACTTGTCCTCTCATGAAAGGTAATTATAACGTTTTGGTCAATCAAAGTGTAACGTTTGTAAGAGCTGCTGAAAAGGAGATTTCTGGCTCAGAGTCTAAGAATAAAACAGATTTAAAGAAAACTTTAAAGATATGTTTTGTAAAAAATACATACATTTTGAACACACTACAGGTGAATAGGGTACCATGAAACTTCCCCAGTTGAATACCTAAATTAAAACTTTAAATACAAGTTTGTTTAAATCTTCAAATGATTATGTAATGTTAACTTTTGGTAAATTCAGGAGAAATCTACAAACAGACAAAGCAGTCGAATTAAATAAATCCCTTTGACTTGTATTGTCCTATAAGCAAAGTATATAATGGGATTGTAGTTAGTAATATTATGAATTGGGAATCAAATTAAGCGATCAGACAAATATTTGAATGAAAACCTTGTATTCTTCCTCCTCCTCACCTACAGTGTTGGTGTGACATGATTTCATAAAACCCTGTGAGCAAAGCTTTACAGAATCAGTCACCGCTGATAATAAAGGAGCTGCGCTTTTCAAACTAAATCTACAATCACCGAGACATTCATCCCACGGCACCTCGTATCCCTCCAGACCAGAGGTAGCCAACAAGGTGCCCGCGGGCACCCTGTCGCCCGCAGGGACCACGTGAGTCGCCCGCAAGGCATGTTCTAAAAATAGCACTAGTCACCATAGAGCTCAGTCTAAAATTGTAGTTGCTGTTCTTTTTTATTAATCAAAACCGCTTGCATTAGTGTCGATTTTAAAATGACAATATTTCTTGTCATAAGAGAGTTGGGTACCCGGAGGCGCACGGTGGACAGCCAGGACGAGGCCGCCGCACCGCACTAGGTTTTCAGGTTCCGAATGGCGGGCGCATCCCGTTGGCGCCAGACGCGCGCCGCAAGCGCACCCCGTCGTCAGGTCCGTAAATCCTCGGAACAGGCTGCGGGGCAACAACTCACGGGTGGTGGGGGTAGAGGCGAGGCAACGCAATCCAAACGAAAAGGCCCAGACTAGAGGTTTGAACGCGGCCGCCCGAACACGCTCGCGCGCCTCGGAGGGTTGGATCCCCCGCTCGGATATAGACGAGACTTTTTACTAGTTTCTTCGTGGAGAAAGGTACCAACAGCTGGTGTCAGTGATAACAGGCGGGGCTCCCGCGATGACGGGCCAGCATGCAGGCTTCATTGCGCAATGCAAAGGTGATCCAGACAAAATTTCTACATTACTACTGGATCATTCACCAGCAGGCGCTATGTGCAAAAGTAACCGGCTTTGATCATGTGATGATACAAAAATATCAGAGATGTGATACCTCTGACTTTCAAATGTTGAAACAGATTAACAGAAATAAAAGTTCCATGTTTAAATATATATGTGTAGCTATACCAGAGATGGGCAGTATTTCTATTACTTGTATTTGAAATACGTATTTCAATTACTTTTGAGTATTTTGTAATTTGTATTTGATAGGGCCGAAGAAAATCGAACGTAATTTGTAACAAAATACTTTAGAGTGGAGTAATTTTGTATTTAAAATACTCAAAATACTTTCTCCACGAATCAAAAAACAGTTCACGAGTTCAGTCTTCAGATCTTCCAGTTCAACGGATTGTCTGTCAAGTTAAATATTTTATCTGAGTGTGACAGATGTCAACTAGCTTGATGTATAATTTATGTCTGGGTCTGGCTATATAGCCTATTGTATATACATGGTGATGGTTATAATATCAAGCTCGATGCTAACATGCTAATGACGCTAGCATGCTGTCAAGGCTAGTGCATAGCCAGTGTTTAGCAAGTTAACTTATCAGTCGAGTAGCTAGCTATAGGAAGAGGGCGATTGGGAGCTTGTATGTTCATGATAACCTTATCAAGAGACGTCTGACCATCTAATCTTGCACTGTATTACAAGTTATGCCAGTGGCGGGCCGTGCATTGTATGCCTCGGCCTTCACTGCTGTCCTGCAGCTGAAATACCACCTTATAACCACATGATGGCACCACAGCTATTCGTTTTTAAGGATGTAACTATATACGTCTTCGTATTAACCCGTTCGGTACGAGGCTTACAATACGTTTGAATAATACTGGAGCACTTGGAAAATGCAGAAGTTTAAATTGAGGAAATTATAATGTTTTCTCCACTCATGTAGGACAGTGGTTCTCAGATGGTCTGGCTGTGGGATCCACCGTTATCCTTAATGACGAAATTGTTTTAGGATTTTACTTTCACAACTCGAACATAGAACGTACTGCACTGCAATGTCTTTCCTCGTCTCAGCCCCCTGTGTCACGGTGTGTGGTACATCTCACTCCGGTCAGGAAACTTGTCAGAATGCCCATATTTGATTGGCTGAGCTGCATCACGTGATGTGATTCACTACCCGACTAAGTCTCTGCTGTTAAGTTTCGTTTCACGATAGTCACGTGCTCGCCCACTGACCAATCACAGCACACTCTGCACCTCGCGGCAGAGCTGCACATGGAAACTGAGCTGCACGTAATGCTGACGTAGCTATAGGCCGGCTAGCCTAGCAGGCGCTGACACGTCAAAGAATACGCCCAACATGTCAAACTAAAGATCTGATTGGTTGAAGACTATGACAATCAACAATATCGTCCCATTCACTTAAACTGCACATGGATGCACTTGTGAGTCTGCAGGCCTCGGGCCTCTCTTCTTACCTAGAGAGACAGAGGTGAAATCTGATTGGATAAAAGCTCTACTTAAAACAAGCTGCACTGGAAGCAGAGCAACTGAGGAAGACAGTAGCTGTGCAATGAGAAAATAAGATAATGGGAAAAATATTTTTAGAAATTTTAATACATGTAGTGTATTTATGAAAAATTATTAAATTATAAAATAGCTATAACTTTGTGATTCTGTTTAGGCCAGCAGAGAAGGCCTTGCAGGCCCTGACGGCCCACCACTGAGTTATGCTGTATCTTCTCAATGTGAATGTCATAATGCCATGTCAATTATGGCAGATAATATAGTTCACAGTTAGCCAGGCTATGACAGTAGATGTCCATTTGTTCAAAAAAATATTACATATCCAATTTATTTTATTTAAAAGACATATTATAAAAGTATTCTTAGTTTTATTATTTCATACATTTTACAGTTGGCCAGGTGGACAACATGTCTCAGCAAGATGATGTTCAAGAAGGACCATCAACAAGCACAGATGTGCTTAGTTACACTGACATTCTGTGACTGTTCTTCCTTTTTGTGGGCTTCACCAGAGCTTTGTGTACTACTCGGTACCCTTGAAGTAGCTCTCAGTTTAAAAAAGGTTGGTGACTCCTGCTCCAGACCGTCTCCCTCCCACCCTAACTCCCGCCCACCGCTACGTGGGAAAACCCACAACAAGTGGCCAACCAATGAGGAGCCCCTCGCTAATATGTAGAGACGGGGTGGAGAGAGGGGGGTGGGCGGGGGTCGCGGGACTGAAAGACAAATGCTCAAAGGGGAAAGAGTAGAGGACCACTCCGCGACCCGCACGGTTTGTTGTTTTTCCCCCATGCGCTGTTTGTTTTGCACTCCCGTGCGCACAAGGACTTCTAAATGATCCAGCGCGGTCCTCCAAGAGGGGGCTCCCGGGACTTGTACCGTCTTTTCTTTTCGGTGAGGGGGTGCTTGAGATCAGCTGTAGCAGAGGACGCTGGAGCTGGAGGGCAGTTTGTGCCATTGAAATCCCTGCGATGGAATGATCTGCTGCAGAAACTCTTCTGAACTTGTGGACGTTTCCTTCTGCGTCTCCTTCTGCGTCTTTCTTATTCATTTATATATATTTTTTAATTGTTTACTCCCGTGAGGAGTTTGTTGGACTTCCCCCGGCCTGATCATGTATGGATAGCGGGAGGTTTCTCGCTCAGGAATCCGGCTCAAATGGATCAGCGTTGACGGGTTTTATGGAGCCGGGATTACACCGCGCAGTGGCAGCCTGTTGAACGCCCCCCCCACACACACACACATCGTACACACACCATCTGCCTCGGAATAAACAACGCTCCTCCGGTAAAGAAGTGGCGAAGAAAGTTATTATTTTTGTTGTTGTCGGTACACATGTCACTGTTGTGAGTTGCGCCCCGGTTTCTCCGCAGCCAGAACAATGGCGAGCCCCAGCGCAGCGGGACGGAGCGCCCGCCGCTCCGCTCTGCCCCTCGGCGGCGCGCTGCTGCTCCTCGGCTGCCTCGCGGCGGCCTCGCCGCCCCACGGCCGCCGGCTGATCTGCTGGCAGGCCATCATGAACTGCCAAGCCGAGCCCGAGTGCAACTACGCCTACGAGCACTACGCGCGCGCGTGCGGCCCCGTGCTGAACGGCGAGCGGAGGAAGTGCCCGAGCCACTGCATCTCGTCGCTCGTGCAGCTCAACCTGACCAAGAACGGGCCGGCGCTGGAGGACTGCAGCTGCGCCCACGACCCGATGTGCACGAGCACCAAGCGGGCCATCGAGCCCTGCCTGCCCAAGACCACCAGCACCGGCTGCACGGAGGCCCGGCGCCAGTGCGAGCGCGACGGCCCGTGCAGCTCCGCCATGCACGACTACCTAAAGCACTGCGGGAAGCTGTTCAGCGGCGCGATCTGCACGAATGCCTGCCGCAACGTGATCGCGAACATGCGCAAGATCCCCAAGGGTCAGCAGCTGGACGCGTGCATGTGCGACGGCACGGAGCGGGCCATCTGCGAGTTCGTGAAGAGCAGCATGAAGATGCTGTGCTTCGACTCGCCCGCGCGGGGGGATGAGGGCAGCGGGTCGGACTACGGCCCGGACCCGGACTACGAGGACGACCCTCCGGATTCGGACTACCTGGAGGAGCCGGAGAGCGGTGCCTCCCCTCGGGCGACCCGCTGGGCTTTAACCCTGCTGGCATCCATTTTGGCTCTATTTGCTCTCGTTTAATCCACCGGGGTTCGTAATCTAACCCCAATTATTTTTTGTGTGTCCGGATAAAAACAAAAAGTCTCTCTTTGACCCTGCTGCGATCGTTGGAAGTTTAAGAGCCTCGCAGACTCAAAGCGGAAAAGAAAAGTGTGTTTTGTTTGAATAGTTTTCTAGACGGTGAAGGATTTCAAATCAGGAGATTTGCAATGCAAGTGAGAGCAGAAAGACTCTCATCTATCCCCCACCTCCCCCGATTCGCAATCCTTCACCGTCTAGAAAACGCCATAGAGACACAGTTGGGCTTTGTTTTGGTAACAACCATCAATCAGCTGTGCACTGCCAATCTTTTTTTTTTAAATATATATATATATATATATATATATATATATATATAAAGATATGAACTATTTTTCTATGACGCCTGTTGCCGTTTTTTTTGGGGCACCAGTCTAATCTGATCTACAAGTATTTAATGCTGGAGTCCTGTGAACTGTACGGAGCTGTAAATAGAGCAGGAGTTTATAAGTGAAACAGTAATTTATTACACACCTATAGTTACATCCAAATGTCCACCATGTGAATAACAGAGCGAGTATTCCAGCTTTAAAGGGAAGTCACCGTGACTGCATTCTCTTCAAAGATAATGTGCATTGTGTATATATGTGTATAGCCTATATAGATTTTTTTTCTCCCCCTCCCCCCCAGAGAATCCTCTGTTTTAGGCTATGAGCTGATTTATTCACTGTGTACAGCTTAGAGAAAGACACGTCTAAATCCACTGTATGATGTGCCTTAACGATATACTTTTATAGGAGGCATAAAGGAAACTTGAAGATATCCTCCTCGACTGTTGACTGTGTTTGTTTGTGTGCTTCGCCGCATCACTTCCGCATTAGGCGTCGGTTACGCCTCCGGGTTTTCGGATGCCGGGGAAATGTTTTTTTTGGTTTTGGAGGGTTTCTTTTAGCAGTGTAAGGAAAGCTATGTTGTTGTAGTGGAATGTAAATGAGCAAACATCAGTTATAGAAAGAATCACATGTCAATGCCTCTTTTTAAAATGTTCTCACGTGACACTTAAAGTTTAGGAGCAACTTGTTGTAATGTAAATCTGTGAGAATCTTTTACGTGACAGTTTTTAGTCCTTAAATCTCTTTAAACTTTGCATAATGGTTCAGGTCAGATGTGCATGAAATCGAAGGGTGTAAGCAAATTATTTTGGTCCATAAGTGAGTGCACAATGGGCTCCTTAGTTTTGCTCTCACAGCAGTGATGAACGGGGTTCCCTCGCTTAATAGTGGACGATACGATAGACTTTATTGTCTCATAGGTACATTTGTCTGGGACTCAAAATGCTGCTCACGTGATATGACACACAACATCTTGGTTTATGTTTATAGCTGCTTCTACAGCAGTTAATTAGAAAATGAACTGACAAACAAAGCAGTGCATATATCAGGGCTGTACGTTACATCGATATCATGATATTAGACGAGATATCGTAATATGGAACAAGTGTTGTCTTCTCCTGCTTTTAAAGGCTGCATGACAGTAGGGTGATGTCATTTTTCTGAACACACCAGACTGTTCGAACAATTCTATTATTTGCCATTTTTATCCCCATCACTGATGATTAATGATAGAAAATCTCACAGTGTAAATATCTGACACTTTCACGTCTCAATATCGATGTTTTTGGTCGTAGATCTGGTGATATTTGATTTGGTCCACATTATCCAGCCCTGCTGTATATACATCCTGACGCTTGTGAAGATAAAAATTATAAAGTTTACTAATTTAAAGAAACAATATTTCTTTTAAAATATTTGATGTATATAAGGGCATGTATGTGAGAAAAACAGTAAAGAGAATACGGGCTCGTTCATAAAAACTGCAGGCTGGCTTCCTCCGTTGACTGAAGGCCTAATGACCTGCTACGTCTTGATTTAGCTGGCTGTTGTCAAAAGCAACTGGCTCCGTAAATCAACAGAACACCCCTCCCCCCCAACCCCTTTCGCCTCCCCCCACCAACACCCCCCTGCACTCAGGTATCAGAATTTACGGTCACTGGCTGTTTTTTGTATTTTCATCATATATAAATATTCTTGTTTATTGTAAGAGTTTTGGTAATAGATCAGGATTTATTTTTTTTTTACCTAGAATAAGTATATATATAAAAAATATATATTTTACTTAATGATGCAAACAGAAAATCAATCAATGTGGAAGTGACAACAGATTTCTGACCTGAGAGCAGCTTCTGTTGTTTAATTCGATTACAGTTAGTTCCTGTAATTGGCTGGAATTAGGAGGCGCTACAAGCATTTATTTAGGTTTCTATTCACATCATCATTCATGCAGCGTGTGTGAATTAATATCTCCATTTAGCAGAGTTGTTATTGTTTTCACGAGACACTGATCATGTCTTTGGTCGGCTTCTGGGGCTTTTTGAAATCTGCTGCGAAATGTTTCATTAAAGTAGGGGGGTTGGGGGACGAGTGCCCTCCAGCTGAATGGACGGAGGAGAAGTCGAGTGGCACCTTTGTCATGGAGATGTTAAGCACATAATAGTTGGGTAGCACAATGGAGAGGCACTTCATTCTTTCAGGCCGGCTTGACACCTCTGGAGAGCCGAGCGGCGGGGAAGCATGTGGGAACGATCCGCTGCCGGGTCTCAGCCCTCCGCTACAAAGAAAGAAGAAGAAGAAGAAGAAGAAGAAGAGGGGTGTATATGACGGGCCCCCATTTAACACCTCCTGTGTTCATGTTGAATTCACTTTTCTACCTGCATGTAGTCCTTTTCTTTTTTACTTCAAGAAATAACAAAACATTTTATTTAAACTTTAAACAAAAACTCACTTCCAAAAAACTTTTTTTTAACTTTACAATAAAACAAGTAAATTATATGCTGTGTACACAATAACAAAAACATCCCAAATCCACTAACTGAGCGTGGCTCCTAAATAAAACACTGTCAGTTTCTTGCAGCGTTGTTAGGCCGGTCCGCCGTGCGTGAAGCTTTCCAGCAGGAGAATAGCTCCACAACCCAGCCGCTCTTCCTCCTTCTCCTCCTCCTCCTCCTCTTTCTCTTTCTTTTGCCTCTCACAGTTCTTCAGGCTGTTCCAGCACTCAGGAAAAAGCACAGCGTGCGTTGATTAGGCCGTAATAATGCACTGGGTGTGAATGGATGAATGAGGTGCAAAAATTAATAGAAAAATTCTCACAAAACTGGCCCCGCCTGTCATAAAGTGAAAATGGTGCACAATGAACACGTTTGGCGGCGTGGCGCTCATAAGGAAAACGTTGAGGAATAAAGGACATTTTTGTCTTTCGTCATAGTATGATTTTTTATTGAAATTAATTTGAAAAAGAAGTGGCCATAAAACTGTGAAAAGTTGCCACAGCCAGTTTTTGGCAACCGCCTCTCTTCCTACACTTACACAGAGGAGTGTGTGTGAGTGTGTTGTCGCTCTGGGTTTGATTTACACACCGTGGCTGTTTGTGTTCCGGCCCTCTGAGCGTGTGTAGAGTATCTCTGCCATCAACTTCGCCTCAGCGAGCTCAGTTCACTTCCAAGCCCTTGTTCCCTTTGCACCCCCCCCCCCCCCCCCCCCCGAACAAAACGACCCACACTTCACCCCATGCAGATCACTTCACCCCCCCTCCTTGCATATCACAGCACAGTGTTTACAAAGGTAAACTGCTTGAGGATCCCAGACGGGCTGAGAGCTACAAGAATCCTGACTGTCCTTATTTTATTTACATTACAGAACAACTCTTATTTTCTTTCCCTTCCTTCCTCTACATTTATCCAACACTAATAAGTCAAGCTGTCACGTTTAATTACGCAACTTATTGACAACGTGGAGTAATTGACTGTAGCTCTACTTTTTCTCAGTGCAGTGTTTTCAGTTAAGGCCTGGCACCAGCTGTACTGGTGTTTTTTGTGTTGTTTTTTTCATGCAGAGGTAAATGGAAAAACCATATGGAACCATTTCAGCTGGAACTTGTTTTACTGAAAAAAATAAAAACATCTGAAATGCTTCGGTGTTTCAGTTGGTCCTCAAAGGACTTGAACATATAAGTTGTTGTGACTCTGGTCTCTAGAAAAAAGTCAAGTTTTGTGTCTTCTTCCTGTTTCTCCAACTATTTTTCGATAATTACATCCAAAAATCTTTTTCATTCTAGTCCTCAAACATCTTCACACTTACAAAACTGACCCCCCAATGTCGGACCTTCTCGGGGGTCCTCTCAACACAACCCCCCCCCCCGGATGCTTGCCGCTGACCATATTTCTCACGGAGGGAATTTGTTTTCGGCTCCGTGCGAGGCTGTGCAGAAAGTGATGTAGAAATGGTCGGACAGTTGGAATGGCTGAGACGGAGGAGGAGGAGGAGGCACTGAGATGGAAAGTTCATTTGAAAGGATTTGGATATAATCCCCTGAAGTTACCACAGGGGTGTTGGACGGATTGGGCTCCTCGACCCCCCCCCCCCCACCCCACCTCACTCCGTGCTCCCACCACAGCTAAAGGTAGTCATGAAAGCGGCGTGTTAGTTGTTTTTCCTTGTGATTTTGTTGATGGGGATAGCTCTCGGAATTCCCGATTTTTTCGACGCAGAGATCATTGAATGTGCGTCTCTCTCTCTCTCATTAGCTGCTCAGGCTGACTTTTGAGAAAACTCCTTGTTTTTTCTCCCTCCTACCTCAGCTGCCACTTTGATTTCATCATGCAAGACCTCTGCTGAGTTCACAACCTCTTTGAAATGAGAAAAAAAGGGCCTGTAATCCAGTTACTCAAGCTGCGGACCCGATTCCTCAGGGTCCTGAGAGAAAAAAGAACCCCACGGCACTAATCCCACTGTCACTAGGAAGAACGCTTTGCTACCTGACTGTCTGTGGCAGCCGTTTGATATATATTCGCTGTTTAAAATGTTTCACAAAGGGGGGGGGGGTGCCAAATTGTTGCGCAACGGTTTTTGTTTTGTGGAAAAAAGGCTGCTAGTACGATGTTTTTACTGAATAAAAGAGCTTTTCTCTACCATGAATAGTCTTTGTGCAGACAGGAATCTAGAAAAAACACATTCATCCTTCTTTAACCTGCAACCTGAGGATTGTGTCCGGCAGTTACATGACCCTGCTGCCTTATCACACTGTGAATATTGTCAAATTACTCTTCCAACAGTGCAAAGCACACATCAGCACCATTAAGTCTTGTTAAGTGATGAGTACTTAGTGAA